GACATGTAGTCACGCACAGCCACGCTAAATTCATATGAAATCATAATATGAGGCACTCTAGAATCACCCTTTGATTCAGGTAAGGAAGGGGGGGTTGGTGATGGTGTATGCAAGCAACTTCATGTTACATACTAAGGCCCCATTCACACCGGATCCCTGACATTGCATTACCATGCATTTTTAAATAAATGGTAACAGAAAGGCAGCAAAATTTTTTTTGGGTGTAAACGACAGTTCACACTACAGCATTGCATTGCTGTAAGTTGCGCTGGAAAAAAAAAAGTAGTGCATATGCTACTTTTGTTCAGCGCAACACAACGCAGTGCATGAATGTGTAAACGTGCACTAATACAACGCAAAGCTCTGCAAGCCATTACAGTGCAGTATGTCGACCAGGAAATGGTACTTCACATAAAGCTTGCCCAAAAAAAAAAAAAGAAATCAGAAGGAAGTCGGAAGGTACAAACGCAGGTCAACGGACCTTCTTTTGACTTGTTGTGAGTACCGTCCAGGTGTGAATGCACCCTAAGGGCTCATTCTCACGAGTGTGAAAACAATACACTGTACAAGCAACTGAGACTTCTGCGCCTGGGAGTGACATATGTTGCGTAAAGTCACATGCAGCACCCTGTACAAATCAATGACAGGCTTTCTCTGCATACCAACACATCCTAACGTTTACATCTGTACAGGGTTGGATGGGCAGCCTTGGGCGCAGACAGTTTGTATCCAGGGTCACTTATACATCCCTGTACACAACGATGTACCTGTCAGTCCTTGGCACAGAATTATCAACTGTTTTTTACAGAGTACAGACACCCATGTGAATGAGCCATTAAAATTAAACGTCAAGAAATAAAATATTGTCCAAATACAAGATTCATGTGTATCGTTACTTGATTGTTGGTGTCATTCGTGTATTTCTTCCAGATCTGTGCAGTAATCCAGTGTGCAACTTTGCCTCTGTGGAGGAGCTTCCTGTAATAAAGACCGGTCACTCTCCTTGTGCAGGGTGACTGGTCAAGTAACCACCCCCTCCTGTAGTTTTCTACAGGCAGGCTGTAGTGGGTGGGGCCTGCTGGGCACCTCCCACAGCTCTCCTCTCTGCAGAGGCTCTGTACAGCACAGTGATGATTAGTGATGCGCCTCGTGCCGAGCCCGCCAGGAAGCTGTCAGTGCGCAGGTCCAATCACAGGCACTGACACATTTCCCGATCTCTGCAGCTGCGGACCGGGAACATGTCTCAGTGCCTGTGATTGGCCCTGCGTGCTGACGGCTTCCTGGCGGGCTCGGCGCTTGCGAACACGCCCGAGCCCATCACTAGTGATGATGTCACCACTACTGTTACAAGGTAGTAAATGGGTTTGCAAAGCCGTCTGGTGCACACAAAGTGAAATTATATCCTCTGTGACTATTAAGGAATATATTTCAATGAAAGATTTTGTGCCTTCTGTTCGGCTTTAGCCCCCAGTCACACTAGTTGCACGCATGAATGCGCTGCTCATTTTGCTGCGTTTGTCATGCCCCAGCATAGGGCATTCCATTGATTTCAACGGGCTGCCTTATGTGCGACAAATGTAGCAAAGAAGCCCATGCAGCAGTTTGAGCAGCAAGCTTAGCGTGTTTTCCACACATTGGCCCACCTTGCTTGCCATGTCTGGGAGGACATTAACAAATATTAGAACCTCAAACGCCTCCTGTGAAAATCTGTATGCTTTTGTGCATCTTGTGTGCAACTACTGTGAATGCATGTGAAATGGTCTAAAACAGGGGTGGGCAACGCCGGCCCTCCAGCTGTTGTGGAACTACAAGTCCCATGAGGCATTGCAAAACTGACAGTTATAGGTATGACTCCCAGAGGCAGAGACATGTTGGGATTTGTAGTTAAAGCACAGCTGGAAGGCCAGAGTTGCTCGCCCAGACAAGGTGGCGCACCATGGGCCTCTGGGTTGTACTTGCCCCCTGGGCTAAAAGTTGCCAGTCAGCCCCTGTGCTCACCCCTGGTCTAAAAGGTAGACGTAGGACCTGTTCACACTTGTTTAAACATGCGTTGTGTTTATGTACGTTTAGTACACATCAAATGAATGGGTTGCCCTACGCACAACAAATGCAGCAAAGAAGCTCAATCAGCAGTTTGAGCTGGCGTCTTCACGTGTTTGCCACGCATTAACGCGTAAGCAAAGACACGTGTTTTGCCTACTATATTTAGGGAGCCATTAACAAGTAATGGTGCCGCTAGCGCATCACGTGTTTTTCCTACACTCTTAACGTGCCAAATGCACATGCTTTCACGTGTGTGACTACTGTGACTGGGGGCTTAATATGTGCGTGACATGAAACATGGTCTAAAAGGTGGACTAAGGCTGGCCGTACACTGCTCTACTTTTCTTGTTTAACCCGCGAGCTGAGCGAGAAAAATAGAGCCAATTCCTCCACCAACACTACCAGCGCGTCGATCGAGGAATCCCGCTGTCTGCATTGTATTCTGACAGCGGCCGACTGTCCCCATCAGAATACCCGCCCCCGGTGGCTCATTGGCTGACGGCTCTGATCAAACGAAGATTTTCCGGCTAGCTCCTTCGATCAGGGATCAGGGATGCTGATCGGAAGGGTGCTGACAGAGGCACACACTGTGCGAATTTCAGCCATTTCCTCGAAATTCGCACAGTGTGGGGGCACCTTAAGGCTACATTCACACTAGGGTGCAATTAGATGCGTTTATATGCATTTAAAATATGTTTAATGCATAAGATGCTTATATAACACATATATACAGTATGCATCATATGATTTCTGTGGATCTATTCACACCTTGCGTTTAGATGCTTCTGTCTGTAGTCAGGTTATCTGCGTTAGAAAAAATAGAAGTCAGGTGCATCCAGGATTTGAACTTCTAAACGCACTACGACGTATCTAAACACCAGATGCATTTGCTAAAATCTCATTGGTTACTCCAATGGACTGTTTCAATGGACAAAGGACAGATGTATCTAAATGCATACTGTATGTGTGTAAACGAGACATGTATACCGGCAAACACATTTGTTTTGTTTCTTCTTTCGTTCGGGTTTCGGGTCTGAACGCTGTTTTGTTTCCTTATTTGGATCTTTTGGAACTTCTTTTTTGGTTTCAGACTGGGTTTTCCTGATTGGCCAGAAAACAGTCATGTGTCCGATTTAAACGTACAGCATAGAAGGTTCTCACCGCTCCAATTCCTCGGCCCCCACCAGGACTCCCCGGGTGCTGGTCAAATGGGTGCGTTTTTCGTCTTAGAATCTAGTAGTATACAAACAGAACGCACTTCCAAAGAGTTCCGATCCTTCAAGCTTGTATTGAAACCCACAGCAAATCCTTATCACAGTGTATAAACTGATGAACACCAGCACCGCAACCCCCGACCATCTAAAACCATTTATGCGTTTCACCCATAGGCTTATTCATAGAGGTCTGATTGGCCAGAAAACAGTCACGTGTCCGATTTAGTTTCATTTTAAACAAACATTTGGATTTGTTTGCATTTCACCCTTATTGGAATTCAGACATTTGGATGCATCCGAATCTCTGAATTCTGCATTCGGAACAAAACGACATCTATGTCTACTGTACACGCGCATCATTTTAAGCATCTGGAAGAATAAACGCAGCATCTAGCCTGACAGATTTTGCAAACGGATCTCTGCATAAAAACGCAAGAGGCACATGTGAAGGCTTGTTCACACCAACTGCGGTGTGTTCCAGAGCTGCTGGAACGCACAGCAATCGCACGTTAAACTTCCCCCTTCGTTCTGGGGTGGGAGGGGGCGTGGCCCACAGTGCGGTTGAACTAGTGGAAAAACATTGCCTGCGTTCCGGTCCAATGCGAACGCAAAAAATAGAGCATGCAGCATATTTTTGCGTTCGCAGTGGACCGTAAAGTCTGCAATGTTTTGCCATGCGTCCGATCACACTGTGGGTGAGGGGTGCATTGCCGCACTGGCGTCACAAGGGGGGTGTGGCCCGCACCCGGGTGACACCAAAATGACCAAGTCATTTTGGTGTCACCCCCTCTAAAAAGTCAGTCACTTGGTCATGGACCGGGAGCCTGACAGCGTCAGTAGAGAACCCAGCGGCATACCTCATCCTGCCGGGTGAACGTCCCCTCCTCTCTCTGCAGGCGCCCATCACCAAGATGGCCGCCGGCAGGCGTCAATTAGATGGCCGTGAATGCGCGATGACATCACACCCATGTGCGATGACCTCACAGCGGGGTGTCACCCGGTCTCCGCTCAGGGTGACACCTGGCCTCGGGACACCGCTGCATGGCTGCGGTGCCATTGATTTCAATGCACCGCCACGCCCTTCTTGCTCCAGAGCGAAGGGGGGGTTTTTAGTGTGCGATTGCTATGCATTCCAGCACCTACCGCAGTTGGTGTGAACTGGCCCTAAATGAAGCTTTGGGGCCTGTTCACACTCGTTCTTGTGCGTTTGCCGCGCATCCGTCAGTGTGCCGTGCCCCAATGCACATGCTTAGGTGCGCCCGAATGCGAAAATAAATCGTGTACAGTGTCTTATCCTCTTAAAAAAACCTTTTCCTCTGCTCAGGAGCCACATTACGGCTGGCTTCCCTCCTGCACACATTGTTCCAGAATGCTACATTTCTCGGATCCTCCTTAGGTTTCAATAAAAAGCATTTTCTCCAATGCAACCAGTGTGGCTTTGGCAGGCCGGGGTCTAAGCAGGGTGGGCGGGGCGCCGGTGACGTCACGGCTCCGATTACTTAGCCTGACTTGGTCTGCGGGCTGCGCTGCATTAGGATAGAGTTGGTTGGAGAAGCCGAAGGAGGTGAGAGCCCTGCAGGGCTGTCAAGGGCACTTCCTGGCAGGAGATCCCCCCGATCACGGGGAGAGGCTGAGAGCTATGCTGCGGACCGGGCGCTGACCGCCTCTGCTGGGAGTTTTGGCATCCTGCGAGTGCTTGGTCCATGTTGTCAGCGCAGATCGGGATCGCACGGATGCTGTTAGGATGAAGCCGCTCATAGCCGCATCGGAGCTCACTCAGGAGAGCTCTCCCCGGCGCAAGGACAAGGCAGAGGATTCCGAACGTCACCGGACCCGGGAGCGCCTGGAAGCCACCCTGGCCGGGCTGGGCGAGCTGGGATACCTGCGGCACCGGCAGGAGATCCTGGTGAAGGCAGCCCTGAGCCCCGGAGTGGCCCCTTGTACTGACCCTGCTGGCAAAGGTGACAACCCCCGGAGCCTGGAGGAGCGGTTCTTGGAGGAAAATATTCTGCTGCTCAAAAAACAATTGGTATGTAGTCAGCCAGATTGTGTGTGTGTGTGTGTGTGTGTGTGTGTGTGTGTTTGACACCCACACTAGGGTTTAACAGTGTGCTGAGAAGAGAAGGGGGCACCCTGAGTGCTGGGCATCTGCAGCAATTCCATATGTCAAGAGACTGCTTGCTGCCAGTGTAGAGAGACTACTTAGCCCCTTATTATTTCACTGGGCATCTGCAGCAATCCCAGATCATGTCAAGAGTTCGCTTGCTGCCAATGTAGAGAGACTACATGGCCCCTTATTATGTCATGTAACTATGAACACATTTCTAAATACTGCTGTAAATATAGCAATCTCAGGACGGGACCTCGCATGCAATTGTCATTGGCGCGGACGAGCGTTTGAAATCTGCGATTGCTTTGTTTGCGTTTCATTGATTTCTATGGGACATGGCACACACAGGAGGTGACCTGCCTGCTACAGTCACTACAGTCACGGAGTACTGCAGGTCAGGCTTATGGCAGATGCTATTCTTTAACTCCATAGGCTGGAATGGGGTGCATAGACGGCGCTTGTTCATGAGGTTTTTGGGAGATTTATATTTGTTAGTAAGGCAGAAAAAAAAAAGGCTCTAGACGTAGTACAGTTTTTGTTTAGATTTTCAAGGTTCACAATCGCATGAGTGGTTGTGTAGTTGTGCTTTTGAAGGCATGATCCCGTTACAATATAAAATATGGGTGTAGAATGGGTTGCGGATTACATAGCCAATTCTGGAGTTTTTGTTGCAGTTGTTGGGTATTTAAACCAGGTGAGCGGTTTTGCTTTTGCACTTTTATGGGTAAATAGTGTAGGATTGTATTCTGGCAGCTGATGGGGGGGG